TTCAGACTTACTATTTGGTTTGCACCAAAGTCATTGCCCTGTGTATGTGTGTATGGGCTGTGTCAAGAAAACAGAGTTGGGACAATATGAAGAAGGTGGGTACAGTGCTGGCTGCAATGGTGGCGGGTACTTAGCTAGCACTCCCCATGGGGATCGACGTTCAGCCTCATTAATTTTGCCTTCATTATATTTAGGAAATGGTTTATTAAAGAGTTTTTTCCCTAAATTTCTTGCCTGCATCTCACATTTAAAGTATGCAGAATTTTAAGTCTGCGTGTTGTGCATTTATGCCAACATTTATAGATGATACAATACTCAGAGGAGAAAATGATGCAGATTATCCATTTTTGTAAAGACAGAATTCTAAAAGGTAGAAGGTGGGAAATTTGCCAGTAGTATGCTAATATCTGGCTAATAACTCATTGCATGTTGATCTTGACTCAGGCTTTTCCTAGCTTTAATAAATGTGTGATGCACACTGGGGGCAGTTGGGCGGGGTAGGGGAGGTACAGCGGGGGTGGGGAGGGTGGGGAGGGATGACATGGGGAGAAATGCTGGATATAGTATACACCTAAAGTAAAATTAAAAATAAATAAATAAATAAATAAATAAATAAATCTGTGATGCTTTCAGGATCTAGCCAAACTGGTACATATGATTTGTAATTCTGAAATCACTGTTACTTCCTCTGAGAAGCCATGTCTATGCATGTAAGTATGTTACAGTGGGGCACTATCATCAGACTTTTTCATTTAATACATGATGATTAAAATGGAATAACAGCATTTTTCTTCACAGAACAAATCATCTGTTGGGTTCCTTGAGTGAACATTTAACTTTTAACTCTTGGCAGTCTAGCAGATCAGTGAGATTATGTATTTGAAAAGTAATCCAGTTATAATTGTATTTGAGAGAGAATATTTAGGAGTTTTTTTTTCTATATAACTCCATATGTATTTGACGAAGCAAGTCATTCTGCAAACAGCTGTTTCTCTTAAGATACTGTGGCTGACAAAGGGTAATTTGCAGCCTACCAGGTTCCTTTTCTTATTCTGATGTATGGTAGGGCTTTCTCTCATGAACATAAAGTACATTTCCCAGGGTTTTTCTACCACCCAGTGCATGGGAAGTCTTGTGTCTGACAAACTGTGACTCTCATAACTCCCTAGACATAGGTGGGATTTGAATCTCTACAATTATACCTTTTTCTCTTAGTCAAAGGCTTTGTATTCATTTGGGAGAAGCCTGAAGGTAGGAAAAAGGCAATAGATTGAATTTGGGAGGCTTTATACATGTTCTACAACGTATCCCTTTGTCTGTCATCAACTTCTTGATGCAGATGTACTTCAGAAATGTCATCGGCTATTTTCACCCTCTTCTTGCTGCTTTTTGAGTGCATTTTTCAAAGACAGTCAATGGGAAAGGGGAGCTGGAAGATTCATATGATTCATAGGTGTACTAGCACTTATTTCAGCAGATAATCACTTTCCTATTGAATCACTTTGCCATTTTCTTTACTCAGTAACACAGTGAAAGACCAGATGAGAATGACATGTTTTTTAAGCCCCAAAGGAAATGGAAAAGGAGGGAAAATGAGGCAAGCATAAATGAGCTTGCACTCTAGTCTCGTCAACGTTTCTTTAATCTCGACTGTATATGGGAGGGGGAGAGAGTTGATTTTCCTGTCCTGACTCCCCTTAGCTGCTGGTTTTAGTACATAGCCTGCTCTGCCAGAAGGTGGCGACTGTCATAGGTACAGTTACAGAGCCGTTTAAGACAGGGCCTGATACTTTGCACTAGTGTGTGCTAATTCTGAACCTATGGGTCTAGATTGGAAGAAGGAGGGCTTGGGACACCACTGACTTCGCTAGGAAAACCTGAAGGGTGATTTTTCAGAGCCAACATGGCTGCTGGGCTATCACACCAAACTGTTATAGACCCAGTGTGATAGGGTACCTTGTGGCCCACTCAGAGTGCTTAGGTGGCCTACGGAAAACATTGGAACCTTCCTAGTACAGAGTTATTGATTTTCCAAAGGACAGAAACAATAGATGATTACCTGCTTGACTGGGAGAGTCCCTCCCTAATCCTCACTCCATCTCAAACTTACATACTTTACCAAAGCCTTAATTCCATACAACGGATTAAAAAACAAGTGTTAACAGATGTCAAAAACCAAGTTTGTTCTCTCCCAAACACCAATTAAAGTATTTTGGCCTATAATTAAGTTTGGGCCTCTTGAAGAATGAACACTATGTAGAGGAGATTTATTATCACCAAGTGTTGTGCGTATAAATATATTACCCTGAGTTCTAAAGTTGTCTTGGAAAAAACAGGGGTATAGTTTTCTTTTGAAATGTTGTATTCCACAGATAACATAGATATTAAATTACTTGGTCTCCTCATCTATTGCTTGGATAGAGAATGCAGATTTTTTATTTTATAAGCTTTCTTGAACATAAACAGCAGTTTCTGGTAAGGTGATGTTGCTATGCATTTGCATTGTTATAGAATTAAATTATGGATTCTGTCATTCAAAATAGAAGCTTTATAAATCAAGTAAAATCTCATAACTAAGATGAATACTTTTATTTAAATCTCATGCTGCCTTGTATTCTGTATTTTAGTTTTATAGCCCAACTTGATACAATTTTTAAAAGTGATTCTTTTTTCTATTTCTGTGTACTGTTTTTGCTCTGCTAAACTCTCATTGTTTTCTAAGAAAAAGCTTAAGATAAGTTACTTTATGTAAAGAATATAAAAGCACAAAGGCATGTTCACTTCTTTATCGGTATATTGGCAGGAAATATGCCAAATACAGTGTGTTCTCGCCCTCCCTTCTTCTCCCTCTGATTACATTCAGTGTAGATGATATTAAAACTAAATTGTAACCAATGGTGAAATTCCAATTATTCTTTTTTCTTTATTTTCTTTAACTTATCTAATGTTTGGAATTCCTGAATATGAAAGACACTCTTCATTATGTAGTTTTTTTTTTTTTTTTTTTTTTTTTTTGCAGTGGAGTTACAAATTGTGTTCTATGCTTGTGTATGCTAATTGTCTAAACAAGCTATCTGGGTGGCTCTGCAATCCTTAAGCAATGCTGCTCAGCAGCTGCCTAATTTCTTTTCTCACTACTGCTGTCAAACTACCCCAACGCATAGGAATTTGAGTGGTGGCCCTAACTGGAGTATGCAGCAAGATGAAAAATAGTCAAAGGAGAAGGAGGGTCAGGAGTAAGTTATTTAGATCCGGTTAGGCGGCAGGGTCTCCAAATGCAGCTGCAATTGATAATAAAAAGGACTGAAATTCAGAAAGGCGGTCAGGGGTAGAGATAGAGATTTAAGATCCAAACAATTGTAGAAATATTTGAAACTTTGAAAAAACTTAGTTTCTCCAGGGAAAAGACGTTAGAGAGGAGAGCAAGAGGATTTAGAACTGGGCCTTAGGGAAATCTTTAATGTTAGGATGTGGGAAGAGGAAGAGAAACCCTGAAGTAGAAGAGTAAACTAGCATGTTTGGCTGCAAAAGTCACCAAGTGCCACTGCCTCCATCAGCTGTTAATTCTGAGCCTGATCACCTCAGTTTTGTAGATGGGGAGTGGAGAATCTAGGAACTAAAGATCTCTGTCAATTTCTGTCTTGCTTCACGTTGGTGGGTGTAAAAAGAAGCTAATGGTTTCTCTCGGGGGTAGGTTTATGGGGAAAAGAGCCCTATTACTGTGATTTAGCACACACAGGGTTCTCTTTACATTCATTATATATGTTGAAATTGCACAGCTATTCCTAGGCTACTTTTGAGAATTTAGGAGGATTAGGTTAATACGATTCTTAACTTATCCTACCAATAAATTATTATTTCTCCGAGATTTGCATAGAAATATAAAAGTACATAAAACTAAGATATTTGATTTTATAAATCATTTTAATTTAATTTAATGTAAATTGAGCATTGGGAAAAACAAAAGGACTAACTCCACAGAAAACAATGGTGTCTTTTAATTTCTCACACTGCCTTTTAAGTTATACCCAGCTTCTTGCCAGAGGAGTTAAAACAATAGAGCCACCTTGTCCTAGTGATCTAATATTTAAAACGAGCAGTTGCAGTCCATCTGGGTTTGCATTATATGTAGCTCTAGAAAAGTTTTGAAGGACATGTCTTGATTCTCAATGAAATTATAGGAATGTTTTAATAACAAGATGACTAAACGATGAAGAAGTGATTGCATAAATTATGTAGGCATCATAAATAAGGAAGACGCATAGCATGTGTTGAATGAAAACACTTGGTGAACAAACTCATTTTTCTCTTGGGAATTCAGGTGGCCTAGCAGCTTGCACTCTTCCATCCAAAAAAATGTTGCCCTTTTGCTCCCCACCTCCCCCTCCCCCAATAACCTCATGTACTGTAAAGAATCTTAGCATCTGTGGGAAACAGAATTGTTTGCAGTTGTGCTTCCTTGAAAGGTTTATGGTGGACCTGGTAATCCAAATAAGAGAGACTCATTAGCTTCTTTGTATAGTGCTCATGAGTAAAACACAGTAATGGGTCACATTGTGACAATGTGATCAACAACTAGTCCAGCGACATCCTTTGCTGCTACGTAGTAAACATAATTAGCAGCCATGCCAGCATTTAGGTGACACCAAAAGCATGTTTGGTTCCACAGAACTGACATACTATCCTGTCTTGAAAGTGCTTAACATCAATAAAAAAAACATTGGATTTGCTGAGAATCCAAAATACACTTTGTTTTCCATCATGCAAGTGTAGATCATCTAGGGCCATTATCTCTGGATCCTAAAGAACAAAATGGCTGCCAAGCATAGGGATTTATTATTTCATTAACAGACTGTCAGTGAATTTCAGGGTGTTTCTCGCCTTATATGGATTCAAGAAGAAGAGTTTTGGAGCTTAGATCGTCCCCAGATAATGGAGTTCAAAATGTATCTATTTGTGTATAGTTTTAATGAAATGTTTTCCCTATTCTTCATTGTTAGGGTCGGTGTACTCGTGAGAACTGCAAGTACCTTCACCCTCCTCCACACTTAAAAACGCAGCTGGAAATTAATGGGCGAAACAATCTGATTCAACAGAAGACTGCCGCAGCCATGTTCGCCCAGCAGATGCAGCTTATGCTCCAGAACGCTCAAATGTCATCACTTGTAAGTCATAGCTATCTTTTGAAAATTGCCAATAAATATCTACAGTGGAATAAACTGGCAGGGACTTGAGGAAATTAGTTGCAACAGGATTTAGGACACAAACTAGTATGTTCATTGACACTACAGAGCTGTGCACATGAAGAGAGCAGTCAGGTGTGCTGCATTGAAAGCCTGGCTGCATTTATGCATGAGTTCAGTTTGTAAGAGAATATGGACGAAGGAGCAGGGACATTTTAAGATAAGAAGAGTTTTTATTTTTATTACATGGAAACCTTTGAATTCTAGGACATTAATTCAAACAGATTTTCTTGTTTGATGGGGATTTTGTTTTTTGTTTTTGTTTTTGTTTTTGTTTTTTCTTTTTGAGCCAGAGTTTCACTCTTGTTGTCCAGGCTAGAGTGCAGTGGTGCGATCTGGGCTCACTGCAACCTCTGCCTCCCGGGTTCAAACAATTCTCCCTCCTCAGCCTCCTAAGTATCTGGTATTACAGGTGCCTGCCATCATGTCCAGCTAATTTTTTTTGGTGTATTTTTAGTAGAGATGGGGTTTCACCATGTTGGCCAGGCTGATCCTGAACTGCTGACCTCAGGTGACCCACCCGTCTCAGCCTCCCAAAGTGCTGGAATTACAGGTGTGAGCCATTGCACCCAGCCTGTTGTTGCTTTTAAATACTTTCTATTCTGAAATAATTTTATATTTACAGAAAAGTTGCAAACGCATTAATAGTACAAAGAATTCCTGTATTACCCTTCACCCAGTTTTCCTCACTGTTAAAATCTTATATTACTGTGGTAGATTTGTCAAAAGCAAGAAACAGGAATTGCACGTCATTACTATTAACTAAACTCCAGACTTTAGTCAGATTTCCCCAGGTTTTCTATTAATGTTATCCTTCTATTCCAATGTCTGATTTAGGGTACCACAGTGCATTCATTTGAATTTTAGCTCCCCTCTCTTCTCTGCCCTATCACCATTTCTCAGTTTTTCCCAATTTCTCATGATCTTGATGGTGACTTTCCCTTATCCTAGCTGCAGGATTTCCCTATGCAAAAATTAATAAGATTAGGTGTCATTCTAGACAAGTATCTATTATTTTTGTGGACTTGTGAGTTTAAATGGATCCTTTAGAAATTAATTAAGCTATATCTGTTCATATTGTTTTATTGAAAATTCACTCTTGTCCCTATGCCTTAAAATATAAACTTTCATTTTGCTTTTACATCTCTTAGGGGGAATTGAAAACTGTCCCTTTTCTGCTATAGTTCTTGAAGCCTCACATTTAACTCAGTGGTGCCTCATTCTAATTCCAGCTGGTCTACTTCCTTTAAAGTATTAACAGGATAAATGTGAAAAGCCTATGTTACCTGTATTTGTTACACACTTAATCAGTGACTACAATGAACATATTGAAAGCTGAAATATGTATGTAGTATTTAGATGCAATGAAAATGTGGGAGTAGGATAGTCTGCTATCAGGAAAGCCCATCTCATTATAAAGTTGATTCTCAGAATTCAAGGATATGGCACACTTTCGTGAATATATCTTTATGGATAAATGCAAAAACAGGTGGGAGAGGCAATGATGAATCACTAAAGTTTTGTACCATGATGATACTCTTTTTCCAGAATGTCTAGACAGATTTAAGTAAAATAAATAGATTTCATGTTCTGTACTATTAGTTTACCAAAAAGATTTGCCTTGGAACTCAATGGTGATTAATTATGTTGGTAAATTAGTTCCTAGAAGGTAAGCTCCTCAAAGCTCCTCTTTGACCTTCAGTAATTCTTTACATTGTTGAAGTCCTTGCACAAACTCTTTCTCTGGGCTTTCACATACTGATGTATCGCAGTCTCTCCCTACTTCTAAGGGCAGAGGGAAGATAAAGTCTTTTGGATACTGAAAATTGTTATGAACAAAACCATAGAGAAGTGAATGTGCTTGGTAAGTACAGAAAATGTGAATGAGCAAGGAATAAAGCAAGGCAGCTTTTATTTTTCCCCCCAGCTTTACTGAGGTACAATTAGCCAATAAAATTGTATATATTTTAAAGTGTACAGCATGTTGATTTGTTAGATGTATACATTGTGAAATGAGATGGCATGGATGATCCTGGCAGGCATTAAGCCAAGTGAAATAAGCCAGACACAGAAAAAACAAATATTGTATGATCTCACTCGTATGTGGAATCTTGAAGAAACTGAATGCATAGAAACAGAGAGTCAAAAGGTGGTTGCCAGGGGATGTGGGTGAAAGGGGATGGGGGAAGATGTTGGTCAAAGGTATGGCAAGGGAGATTTTAACTCACAGTTGCTACTCTCAGCTTCTCATGGGATGTCTCAATTTCAAACTAAGCAAAGAATAGGATGCAGATTTCATTATCAAAAACCTGAACCCAATGTTTCCTACAGAGCTGGAACACTTATCTTTTCAAAGGTCAAGGGACAGCTTCAGGGTACTAGTGAAATGCCTTGTTTCAGGGAATCAGTGAGCAAGAAGAGGAGTAAAGTAGGGGTACTGAGGGAAGCCGTTCTATTCAGCCTCTGCTAGAGTCTCTCCATTCCAAGTCTCACTCTTCACGTGTTATTGATCAATCATGCTGGCTCACACTGGAGAATAGGGAGTAACTTTTTTGAGAATCCAATAAGAAATCCATTTTGCTTTCCAGCCTTTCTTCACTTGTGCTTTCTAATTTGATTCTTCATGCTTTCTATGTTATAATACGTTTCCTGATCTTTTCTTCGATGCGGGTAATTTCAGACTTCAGATGAGAGAAGATGACTGATATGATTCACAGGAGTACAATTCACTTTATAGCATATTACAAGATACAAGGCATTGCTTAGAAGACCCAAGGCAACAATTGGAAATTGCTTCTCTACCTTGTAGGTTATTTAATGATAGCTGTTATGATGCAATGAGCTGATAAATGATTAATTCCTGCAGCTATTATGTGTACAAAAATCTAACCCCAAGATGGTTGTTATGTTCCTCTTCTATGGTCTAAGGAAGCCACTTTGTAAGCATGGTATAATTGAGCTACTGTGAGCAATTTTAAGTATCATTTACCAGTCTGATTTGGAAAAAATTTTCTTTATTGTGGATTCTGATACTATTACAGAAGTAATGTATCATTTTACTTAATTTCTCTGGTACCTACTCTCCCAAAAACAACTCTCTATCCCTTTTAATCACCCCCAGTCAATAATCTGATTCTTTTCTTTAAAATAGTCAAGCTTTTGTTTAAGAAATTTCCAGTGCTGATATTTGTAGGGTTGTATATTAAGACCCATTTGTATCACTGGCTTGAACTTCATGTCTTTCCACAAAGAATACTTTGATCTGTTTCTAGGGTACCAGAAGAGCACATCTGCCTTGGCAAAATTGAATATGGTTTGCTTATTATAAGCCCCTAGATAAAGGGAATGTCAACCTAAATGCGATGGTAGCTACAGAACAGATTCTGTTGAGTGTGACTGAACAATGAATAAAAGCCACACCTAGTCAGTTTGGGTGGAATGCTCACCGGAGCAGGCAAGTTGGTTCACTCTACTAAACAGGTCTGAATTGACATTTGCCGGTATGAAAGTCCACCTCTGAAAGCTTTTTGTTGGCTTTATTAAGGAAGTTCAGCAGGTAAAACAGAAGGTGTGACCCCCTAGTGTTTCTCAATGCAGTTTAAGAGAGATTGTTTCTGATGTTCCCAACAAAAAAGTATGTTGAAGTATCCCCTTGGCATAATCAGAAGGCAAATACAACCACTGTGGAAGAATGTTAGAAAGAGTAGATACAGTGGATTACCCTGAAGCAAAGCTAATGTTTTAAAATTTCGCTTTTACAATTTGGAATTTTAGTTATGAGGAAAGATTCTCACTACTGGATGTGGTGTATGTATTTATAAAGTGAATATGATACTATAGGCTGTTGAAATGTTTTTATTTGGATGTTTTTGCATATCTATACCTGTCCATATCCATATTAAAGGAATACCTGGGAAATTTCTTTAGTTTCTCTCTTTGAATGTGGTGATTCACATGGAAACAGATCCTGACATACAGGTGAACTTGACCCAGTAGAGTGTATTCATTTGATTATTTATATAGGGATTGTTGACTCAGTACATTTGGGGTTGCACTGGGGTGTGCCAAGTAATCAGGTTCCGTTGTATGCTATTTATGGCTGGTATTCCTGTGGCCAAGTTACCGAGTTCCAAACCATGAAGGCCATAAACAAGGGTTCCTCTCCAGGTTTTTCTTTATCTCAAATTGAATCATCTGATGTCTGCCTGGATCCCTCTCCGCCTTTCTACATCATTTTTATAATTCTATTTACCAAATATATTTCTCATAAACAGGCTTGTATGTTTAGCTAACATTAATATAATAAGGAACGAAGGTGATATAACACTTCAGAACCAAGAGAAAAAAACAGAAAGTTCAAATAGATGGTAGGAATGGAGATATACCAATTAATGAATAATGAATAATATTGTTTTTAATGTTTCTTCTTCTCTTTTACTAAAGGGCTACAACGTATTATAGTACCTAGGTTTATATTACTTATAAACTTAGTGACTAGAGATAAAATTGGAAAATATTTATTTACTTATTTTGAGACACAATGTCACTCTGTGGCCCAGGCTGGAGTGCAGTGGCATGATCATTGCTCAGTGTAGCAGCAAACTTCTGGGGTCAAGCCATCATCCTGCCCCAGCCTCCTGAGTAGCTGAGACTACAGGTGCACATCACCATGCCCAGATAATGTTTTTTTAAAAAAAATTTGGCCAGGCAGAGTGGCTTATGCCTGTAATCCCAACACTTTGGGAAACTGAGGTGGGAAGATCAGGAGGTCAAGAGATAGAGACCAGCCTGGCCAACATAGTGAAACCCATCTCTACTAAAAATACAAAAATTAGCTGGGCATGGTGGTGTGCACCTGTAATCCCAGTGGGAGGCTGAGGCAGGAGAATCGCTTGAACCCGGGAGATGGAGGTTGCAGTGAG